ACTTGATTTGCCACTTCCGAGGTGATCAGTTCCATGTCGACAGCGTCAGCAATTCGAGAGAATGCGACAAGGCATTCCACAGTGGTCGCAGCGGGAGCAGCCGCGCGAGCGAGGTGCAATAGGCCGTCTCGTATTATTAGCAGGCTCATTGATTGCCCACCCGGAATTAGTTCCTTGGACTCAAGAAGCTCAATAGCCCTCTCAACACTGTCGACTTTTTCAATAGCCGTACTGTACGCAGCATCGCTGTTGCCCGTCATTGGGGTGCTGTTTCGCGTCGTGCGTCGCGTTTGCGGGCCTCCTGGCGGTGGCTTGCCGCTAGTTGATGCCATAGATAATATTACTTCTGTCGTTGAAGTAGTGTAGACTCTAGTACTAGTTGATATACGAGCCGCACGTCTGCTTTTCCCGCTCCTATGGGTGCAGACCGTGGGAAAGTTGCCGGAGATGGTAGTCTAAAGCAAGAAGGAGCCACCTTGGCAGTTCTCAAGAGAGTAACACCGTCGTATTGCTCCACGATGCGTTCCTGCCTCTTAGGTAACGTCTGCAGTACAATCAAGCTACTCTGAACCTTTTCAGATGTTCAAATCAGTTACTGGTCGGGTTACATGACCCCCCAAAATTGGCAAGGCGTTGCAATGGACACGCATATCTATCAGGTGTTCTCGCAGGCGGTACGTGCGTGTGGTTGTGATCGTCTCCAATGACTTATGACATGCGCCTCTCTACATGATATGCCCAACAGGAGGTAGAATATTCGTATTCTCAACACATTAGTGCCGCATGTGCCTTTGCTTCGTCGCTCTCAGGGTTTGATCTTTGGCTCATCGTCGGAGAATGGTCGACTGCACCGAACGATTGCGCGACGTATCTGAACGGGCGTGGCGTTGGCTCCCGATACGACGGAACGTATCCGGGCTCGACATACGTTGGCAGCTGCAGCGGCTTGACAGGCCTCTCGGCGTCCTTCAGCTCTGATTACAAAACGTTCTTGAGGCAGTACTGGGAAGCTCAGGTACGCCAAGCTGCTTCGCCGCGTTGTTCTCGCCCTAACTTCTCGCCCCTCGTTTACCCACGATAAGGCAATCGCGTTCTCTGCGGGCGCGCAAGGATGGATCATGTGGACCTGGAAGACGGAGAGCGCGGACGAGTGGTCGTATCAGGCTGGCCTTGCTGGCGGCTGGATACCGCAGAACCCGACAGACTACGACTATCCGAACATCTGCTCCTGAACACGCTTCGTGCATAGTCCACGGCCCCATTTCCGTCTTTCTGACGAATTTGCGACTTCTGGCATTCCCAATTTGTTGACCTCTCCCCGTGTATCGCAACTGACGGCATGGATCATTCATCTGTTTCCCCATACTCATGTTCGCGGTAATTTCCTAGCCCTGATTAGTTTGACCGCGCCTTTTGCGCCATTGCGCAATCATCGTCGATTCAGATCTTCTCTTGTGCCCTGACCATGCGGTGTGGAAAAAGCTGGAATGACGCGCCACGACGCGATCGCTTCACGTGAATGTGACGTCACGCGTCGTCAATGTAACACGCCCCTGGTTCGAACAACAACTCATCGGTCTGCGCTTCGCTACGCAAGCTGGCCTCGCTGTTGTCGGCCTCCCGGGTTGTTGTTCCTCAGAAACACAATTATCTTGTAGCCATCGCTGGATTGACACTCATCTTACATCGGTCGTTATAGGCCTGCGACTCTGGGTTATGAGACTTTGCATACTTCGGATCGTGCTTGTTACTGACTTCATCCATGGAGTCGTCCCTTCCTCGCTGATAACTCGGGCTGGCCGTCCGCACACGCTGGGATCTTGGAGGTCTCCGCTGCTCGCCATCAATTCCTCTTTCGGAGCCGCGAAGCATCGCCAAGCCGAGTAGATCAGGGATCTCAAGCGAAAGCTACGGTAGTCGCGCCTAATTTCGCTACCACCAACTTACCGAGCCGTGAAGTCCTCTTTGCCTGCAGAAGAGGCAGTTAAGGAAAACGAAGAAGGCAGTAAGGGAGTAGACGAGGACGAGGACGAGGACGAGGACGAGCAAGGATCATCGGAAGGCAAGGATGACGAGCCGTACCGATGATTCAAGCGTATGCTGGACACTCTGCTGCCCCGTTGGAGAGTTGCCGCCGTGCGCTCGAGTCTGAACCATCAGACTTCGTGGAAGGTATCAAGAGCGGTGCAAAGGTACTGAGTGCCGAGGAGGTACGATCATGGCGTGGAAACAATGTTGAGGCTAACTCTCGCTCGATAACTGACGTGGACTGGGACGATGACGGTCATCTACATGGCGGTTCTGCGGTTGACCAGGAGGATCAGGCTTCGAGAGCGAAGACGAAGACGAAGACAGCTTGTTTCGCGAAGCGTCACTGCCACCCATCACGGTAATACCCTTACATGCCAGCGGCACTTTTCCCTATCATCACAACTGACTATGCGTTTGACCATTATCATACCTCTTAAATGTGCACTGTCTGGATCGATACCCATGCATACTTCGGTTCTGTCACATCGCATGGCATTGCTGTTGTCAACGTCTTAGTATATCACTCTGGCTGCCTGTTTCTGGTAACATCGACATGAGTATTATAGCATATACAGTCCGCTGAAGTACGTCTGGAGACATGAATAGATTTCCATTGACTGACAACATTGAACCTCGAAAAGGTAGCTATAGATCTCTTGGTATCATATATCATACCTCGCGCTGGCTGCGCAAACTCGGCAAAGTGACGCGACGCGTTGTGCAGCAATTAATCTAATATCCACTTGTACATACATATTATTATATATGGGGACTCCCGGATGCTCAAAGTGATACACACTGTCCAGCACGGATTCAGGAGCCACATGAATCTCTTGCATGTTCTGGAGAAGATGCGGTCAATGTTAGGAGCATTTGTTACGATATGTGCTCTGTGCGGGAATTTAAACACTGGCCACACCTCTGGCTTGCAAGGCACAAAGAACGACGGGCAACCGACGACGCAATCATGACAACGATGATTTTATTGACCGCCTGGGTCGGGTACAGTAGGCAAGGCTACACGAATGGCGTGAGTATAATGGATGAAGATCGCGAGAACAAAGATCACAACGAGTTGATTAGTAGCACATAGTGGGCGTTGGCACGAGATAATATCGGTCTAAAAAAGAGAATTACCAATGGCCACTTGTCAAAAAGCCTCGGTCTCCGAAGAATCCAAGTGGTCGAAGTTGTCCAGCACTTTTTCCATCATTTTCTCCAGAACAGCGGTCGTGAAGGGCCCGCCCCGCAACGTGAAATATTCTTGATTCTGTAGGACGGAGAGGGCGGTCTCAACCCAGTCCTTGCGATCCCAACGATAGTGATTATCACGGTATGAAATCTCGCTCTCGAGGAGTGCCGCGGCCTCATCGAGATGGGTTGTTTCCAGATACCCGACAAGTGCAGCGCCTCGGTATAGTCCTGAGGCATTGTAACCGTCGTCTTTCTTGTGCTCGAGGCGGAAGCCATCCCGGACACGGAAAACATCACCGGTAGCGTGAGAGATCCCTTCAAAGTCCCGCGGGGTCTTCTTGACTATGAGCACCCAGTACTCGGGTTCGACATTGGGTCGTGCCGGGCTACAGTATTGACCGATATAGACTTTGTATTGAGTAGGCGTATCCATTCTGCCGAATACGTCTCGCGTTGAGGAGCCTGTCACTGTGACCACGCTACGTTAGAACTGTGGCCTGGGTGTCGTATACTGGCTATTCACCTTGGAGGACTGACGAGCAGGATCGTTAGAGCTAGCACAGAGGCAGCTGCAGGAGAGAGAACTGAAGGTGGTGGATGCCCTCTCTCCGTTCACCAGCCTCGCATTTATACCTACGGGTTAGCACCTTTGGTGGATTGTAGACGTGTCTTCTGAAGACAATGGAACCAATGAGTATGAATGGAAAGAGCAGCAGGTACGAAGACGGTTCGACGCAGGTGGCACAAATTCATCTCCGCTAGTGTGGCCAGTGGCGTCAATGGGACATGCTGCGGTGAGGTCGAGAGGCAGAGTCATCAGTCAGCGGAGAAGACAGCTATTGTTCTATGCGTGCTACATCACCTGACGACTGACGGGCGAACACGCGTTGTGGTTGGGCTGCTGAAGTCGTTGTCAGTGAGTGTGGCTCGCCTGCTCAGAAACACCCACAGAACAGGCCGAGAGGCATGAGCGCCACTGCAACGCGGTTGGGTGTGGCTAGCCTACAACATTGTCCTATATTTGAGCAGATATACAATTGTGTGTGTACAAGGAAGCATTAGATTTGCGAGGACTGAACAAGAGAAGAGCACCACCACTTCGTCACTATATGCACTAATCGATATCAACGTTGCGAGATTTTTTCAATCAAAAAACATGCGAGAAGTGTGATCCGCCCATGACTGGTCGACAAGATGAACCTGCACATCCCCGGGACTGTAGAAATAAGATGGAAAATGTGTCGCCCTGCATCAGTCCTTGAATAATATGGCTTGTTTACCGCTGTGCACGATCTCACCACGAATCCTCGAGTACATTGAGCAACAGTACACTGAGCAACTGGCAGCGATCTTCTCTTGAGCTTGAGCAGTGAGACCTATGTCTTTTCGCACGACACCTGGCATCGCATCTCATGTCGAAGCTTCTGGAAGACAAAGAAAGCAGCAAGCAGGAGGCTAAGATGCCACAGAGGTTCGCGCGCTGAAAATGATTCAAGACACGCAGCGCGTCCATCCAATGGGATTGGTGCAGCATCATCGCATGCATACTCCTTGACTCATCGCCTACTTAGACCTACAGACACACAACATGCCCTACCCGTGATGTTTTGTAAAGTATCGTCGGCCGCATATAATCCTGCTCGCGAGCGACTACTTACCACTATGAGGGCAGAGTCATGTACAAGTCTTCGCAGGCTGAGATCCTCCAAGTGAATCTTATCAGCTGTAGCTGATCAACATCACAATGCATTTGATGTAGGACCCGCTCACGGATGTATGACTTGCCTGTGCATAGCTACATATCTATCCTTGATTTGTCAAGTCGACGAGAGCTTTCGCGGCGCGGATTCGCGCGCAGAGATGACGCATATTAACGAGTATGTTGACCTCAGGGATAATGGCCCGTATACAGAGGCAAACGTAAGCATATTGAGAGTTTAGAGCTCTGTCTTCGTTT